CTTCATTTGTACTGTTTTTCGATTTTTCAACGTTTCGATTTTGTAATTTTTCTCATTTTCAATGTGAAATTTTTCGATTTTTGCTTCTTCAGTATTTCGATGTTTCAAATTTTTATATCTTCGATTTTTCGATTTGCAATGTTTCGGTTTTTCAATGCTCTGATCTTAATTTTTCTTTTTTGCCATGTGAAATTTTTCAACTTTTGGAGTTTTCAATGTTTCGATTTCCACTTTTTCGGTTTCCAATTTTTCGATTTTCCAGTATTTAGATTTCTTAATTTTTAGTTTTTTCAATTTTTCCTTTCTTGAATTTTTGATTTGCATTTCGTTTTAAATTATGTAATAATAATCAGTTTTTAAAATTTTTCACTTTTTCAATTTTACGGTTTTTGAACTTTTCCATATTTCAATTATGAGATTTTAAATCTTTTTCATTTACTCGATTTCCAATTTTTCGATCCATCAATGTTATAATTTTTCGACTTTACAATTTTGACGATAATTTTTCTATTTTTAAGTTCTCGATTTCTAGTTTTCCAGTGTTTCGATTTTTCATTTCTTCAGTTTTTAGATTTGCAATATTTGAGTTTGAAGTTTCATCAATTTTTCAATTTCCGAAATTTAGAATTTTTCAATTTTTAGAAATTGCAATTTTTCCATTGAGTTTCTCATGTTTTAAATTTACAATTTTTCAATATTTCGATTTACAATTTTTCGTTTCGGTTTTTACTGTCTTTATTTTTTTCAATTTTTCGAATTTTTAACTTTTTGTTTCTTCAATTTTTCGATTTGCAATTTTTGGTTTTGGCTTTTTGTTTTCTTAATTTTTATTAGTAAAATTTAATTTTGCCGAATAAATTCTACCCAAAATATGCAAAATATGATGAGTTTTTACTTATGATTCATCATTGCATTCATATTTTTTAGATTGGCCCCCTATTTTCTCAGAGGATATGTCATTTGCCAAAATTAGTCTTATCTTAGCAAAAACTAGCCCCGCCCACCCGCCCTCTGTTTTCTTATAGAGTATGGGATTTGCCAAAATCAGTTTTACCTTAACAAGTACTAGCCCCGCCCACCCACTCCCTATTTTCTCAGAGGATTATGTCATCGGCCAAAATCAATCTTATCTTAGCAAATACTAGTATTTTGGCACGTGAACGGGACTAGTACTTGCTAAGATAAGACTTATTTTGGCAAAGAACGTACTCTCTGAGAAAATATGGGGCGGGTGGGCGGGATTTGTATTTGCAAGATAAGATTTATTTTGGCAAATGACAATCCTCTGAGAAAATAGAGGGCTAAGATAAAACTGATTTTGCCTCTATTAATCTTGTAAAAATTTGTTAAGGTGTTAAATTGCAAATTTCCATAGTAACGAGTTAAATTCCTAAATCGGATTGGGTGTTTGTTTATTTTTTATGTTTCATTCTACTTCAGGAGCGAGGGAAGTTCTGTTGAAATAACTTTCGATCAATTTCTTCAATTTTTCGATTTTTCAAATTTTCATTTGTTCAGTTTTTCGGTTAGCAATTTTTCGTATAGGTTTTTGATGAAGAACATTGAAAAGAATTAAGAAGATGTTCTTAATTATTTTCAATGTGCTGATCTTAATTTTGTTTTCTCATTGTGAATTTGTTCAATTTTTGGATTTTTCAAGTTTTGGGTTTTTGCAATTTTTCGATTCTTTAGTTTTTCGTTTCTTCAAATTTTCGATCTGCAAGTTTTATTTTCGGCTTTTTATTTTCTTCATTTTTGTGGTTTTTCGATTTTTCAAAGTTACCATTTTATAATTGTTCATTTTTTTCAATTTTTCGTTTCTTCATTTTTTCGATTTTTCAGATTTTATTTCTTCAAATTTTCATTGAACAATTTTTCGTTCCGGCTTTCTGTTTTATTCATTTTACTGTTCTTCGATTTTTCAATGTTCCAATTGTATAATTTATTGTTTTTTCAATTTCGCTTTATTCAATTTTTCGTTTCTTCAATTTTTCGAATTTTTATTTCTTCAATTTTTCAGTTTTCAATTTTTTGTTTAGGTTTTTCATTTTCATAATTTTTTTTCAATTTTTCGGTTTTACAATGTTCTGATGTTAATTTTTTTTTCAACGTGAAATTTTTAAATTTTCGATTTTCAGTTTTTCGTTTCGGCATTTTATTTTCTTCATTTTTACTCTTTCTCGATTTTTCAATATTTCGATTTTATAATTGTTCGTTTTTCCAATTCCAATTTTTTCAATTTTTCAAAATTTCGTTTCTTCAATTTGTCGTTTAGGTTTTTTATTTTGTATTTTTTTATTTTTCTGAGTTTCAATGTAACATCTCAATTTTTCTATTTTTCAATATAAATTTTTTCTATTTTTAGATTTTTCAAATTTCAGATTTTGCTTTTTTCGATTCGTTAGTTTTTCGTTCTTCAAATTTTCGATTTTCAGCTTTTGGTTTCGGCTTTTTATTTCCATCAATTTTACTGTTTTTCGATTTTTCACAATGTTCCGATTTTATCATTGTTCGTTTTTTCACTTTCAATTTTTTCAATTTTTCGTTTCTTCAATTTTTCGAATTTTCAAAATTTCATTTATTCAATTGATCGATTTGCAATTTTTCGGTTAGTTTTCCATTTTCTTATTTTTTTTCAAATTTTCGATTTTTCAATGTTCCGATTTTATAATTGTTCGTTTTTTCAACTGCAATTTTTTCAATTTTTCGATTTTTCAAAATTTCCTTCCTTCAATTTTTCGATTTGCAATTTTTCGTTTAGGTTTCTCATTTTGTTTCTTTCTCCAATTTTCATTTTTTTCGATATAAAATTTTTCTGTTTTTAGATTTTTCAATTTTCAGATTTTGCTTTTTTCGATTCGTTAGTTTTTCGTTTCTTCAAATTTTCGGTTTTCAATTTTTTGTTTCGGCTTTTTATTTTCTTCATTTTTACTGTTTTTCGATTTTTCACAATGTTCTGATTTTATAATTCTTCATTTAATCAACTTCAGTTTGTTCAATTTTTTGTTTCAATTTTTCGATTTTTAAAATTTTTATTTTTTCAATTTATCGATTTGCAATTTTTCGTTTAGGTTTTCCATTTTCTTTTTTTCAAATTTTCAGTTTTTCATAGTGTTGTGATGTTCTGATCTTAATTTTTCTTTTTTTTTTTAATCTGCAATTTTCAATTTTTAGATTTTGGAGTTTTTCGATTCTTTATTTTTTCGGTTCTTCAAATTTTTGATTTGCAATTTTTCGTTTCGGCTTTCTATTTTCTTGATTTGTACTGTTTTTCGATTTTTCAATGTTCCGATTTGCCAATTGTTCGTTTATTTCAGTTTTAATTTTTCGATATTTCAAATTTTCATTTCTTCAATTTTTCAATGTGAAATTTTTCAATTTTTCGTTTCTTCAGTAGTTCGATTAGTCTCCGATTTTTCGCGTAGGTTTCTCATGTTTTAATTTCTTTTCAATTTTTCGATTTTTCAGCGTTCTGATCTTAATTTTTCTTTTTGCCATGCGAAATTTTTCAATTTTTGGATTTTTCAATTTTTCGATTTCCACTTTTTGGGTTTCCAATTTTTCGATTTTAGATCTTTTTAATTTTAGTTTTTTCAGTTTTTCGTTTCTTCAATTTTTTATTTGCATTTCGTTTTAAATATGTAATAATAATTTGTTTTTAAAATTTTTCACTTTTTCAATTTTACGATTTTTAATTTTTCAATTTTTCTTTCTTTCAATGTTACAATTTTTCAACTTTACAATTTTGACGATAATTTTCGGTTTTTAAGTTTCTTGATTTTTCAATTTTTTCCGATTTTTTATCTTCTCGAATAAAAAAAATGTGATATAAAATCGAGAAAATAAAAATTAACACAAAATGAAAAATCAAAATCTTGAAAAACTGAACAAACAATAAACTGAATAAAATCGAAAAATTAAAAACTGAGAAATTGATAAATCAGAAAATGAAAAATTGTAATATCAAAAAATTGCAAAATTGAAAAAATAAAATTGAAAACACAAAAAATTGCAAAATCGAAACAATGAAAAATGCGAAAATGGAAAAATGAAAGAAAATGAAAAAACGGAAAGTTGTGATATAAAAAAATTGTGAGATCGAAGAAAAAGGAAAAACGAAAAATTGTGCTTTTAAAAAATTGGTCGAAGGTAATAAATACACATTTTTCAAAAAATTATAAGATTTGATTTCGCAAATTTTAACTTTTTATGATAAGCTTTAAAACCAGATGTATAGAGTCATAATATTTTGCATATTTCAGAAAGGATTTATTCATCAAAATTTTGAGATGACGTCACCAATTTTTTGGGAGGAGCTAAAGGAATAAATTTTGAGTAACAGTTTGCCAATTGTATGATAACCTTAAAACGTTTGCAAGATTCAGTTCATTCAATAACAAGCAACGAACCGAAAATCTGAAAATTTTATATAAAAGTAATAATTATTAACAGAATGAAGAAAGGTGAGAAAATTATGTCCTCTGTTGGCAATTTTATTAGACAGATTATCTCAAAAACTACTTAAATGTTCAAATTTATACCTAGTTAAAATAATTAATTAGAGGACATAGGTAGTTGACATTTCCAATCTGTTGCCTCCTTGTAAGCCGTTAGCATCCTTAATCGAGTTACAATGGTAAAATCCGTATTTAAAATGTAACAGCAATTTAATTTAACTATATATAAAAAATAATTATACAATAATCACTCCATAAAAGCAAAGGTAAACAATTTGTTTATGCGTCCATGATGTAGCATTATATAAAATCAAAGTTCAAAAGTGTAATCACTTAATCAGACCTAGAGGACACGAGCACAAACCGCACATTGCAAATTCCGCAAAAACCGCATTTACCTTAAACCACAATCACACAACACGTACATAACATTTCGTAAACATCCATTTCATAACCTAAAAACTTGAAACATAACGACTACCGATAAAACTTTTACTACTACTAAAATGTGCTATTTTACACCACCTTCCCCTACTACGATGTTTTCATCACAACAGTACGATAAACGTCAATTTTTGTGCTGTGTGTTATCACAGTCAAACAAGTGGTTCAAGTTGTAGCATCGTGAGAAACTCCAGAGTAACACTACGAAGATGGAAGAAATCGACGGAAACACAGTTCTTGCCCAGGCCCTCAAAGAACAGGTAATTTGTGTAAAACATGTAACCAAAATGTCAAAATTTAACAGCGCATTGATCATAGTAACCTGTCACTGTCATTGTTTGATTTATCCGGTAGTTAACTGTTATCGTTTAAAGAGCGCACCACTAGATGTCGCTACAAGTATTATTAAGTTTCGTATAGCGATACACTGCAAGGGACTACGGTTTGCTGTGTATAGCGACAATCTAAAACTCTACAACTAAATGTTCTTTTTTTCTATTTTAACACAAAATTTACAGGGAGTCGAATACGTGTTCGGCATATGCGGCTTCCCAGTGATCGAACTCAGCATGGCCCTCCAGACCGCCGGCATCCACTACATAGGGATGCGTAATGAGCAAGCAGCTTGCTACGCCGCCCAGGCCATCGGCTACCTAACTGGAGTCCCCGGAGGCGTTCTCGTCGTCTCCGGACCCGGACTCCTCCACGTTTTCGCCGGCATGGCCAACGCACAAGTCAACTGTTGGCCCGTATTGGTAATCGGAGGCTCGTGTCCACAGGACCACGAGGGAATCGGAGGTTTCCAAGAGTGCAACCAGGTACACGCATCCATAAGTAACACACGAGTAGCTTCGATGTACAAAATATAATAATCCGACTTATCTTGGCCTTATGGCACTTCTACCTCTTTTGTCAAAGATTTTCGAAAAATTGTTATGACAACTACACAACTCATTGGAAAAAAATTAGTTATTTAATGTAAGTTGAAGAATCGAGAATTATGACTTTCCTAGATCTATCCGACGCTTTCGATGTGTCACACAATTTTTTCTAAAAATATTGTCTATAATACAATTTTTACAAAAAAAGTTGCATTGTTTTAAAGTCGTATTAATAAATCACGAGGTTCCACAATGGCAATTTTTCGAGCCTTTTTCAATTTTAATTTTTTTAAATTTGTCGTGTTTCCAATTTTTGAACTTTTCTATTTTTCGATTGTTCAGTTTTCCTTTCTTCAATACTTGATTTTTCATTTTCACTCTTTTTCGATTTTTCAATGTTTCAATTCTATAATTGTTCGTTTTTTCACTTTCAATTTTTTCAATTTTTCGATTTTTCAAAATTTCATTTATTCAATTTATCGATTTGCAATTTTTCGTTTAGTTTTCCATTTTCTTATTTTTTTTCAAATTTTCGGCTTTTCATTGCGAATTTGTTCAATCTTTGGATGTTTCAATTTTTGGGTTTTTCAATTTTAATTTTTGCAATTTTTCGATTCTTTAGTTTTTCGTTTCTTCAAATTTTGTATTTGTAATTTTTCGTTCGGGCTTTTTATTTTCTTTTTTACTGTTTTTCGATTTTTCAATGTTCCGATCTTATAATTGTTCGTTTTTTCACTTTCAATTTTTTCAATTTTTCGTTTCTTGAATTTTTCGATTTTTCAGATTTTCATTTTTTCAATTTTTGTATTAGCAATTTTTCGTTTCGGCTTTCTAATTTCTTCATTTTTACTCTTTTTCGATTTTTCAGTGTTCCGATTTTATATTTGTTCGTTTTTTCAACTGCAATTTTTTCAATTTTTCGATTTTTCAAAATGTCCTTTCTTCAATTTTTCGATTTGCAATTTTTCGTTTAGGTTTCTCATTTTGTTTCTTTCTCCAATTTTCATTTTTTTCGATATAAAATTTTTCTGTTTTTAGATTTTTCAATTTTCAGATTTTGCTTTTTTCGATTCGTTAGTTTTTCGTTTCTTCAAATTTTCGGTTTTCAATTTTTTGTTTCGGCTTTTTATTTTCTTCATTTTTACTGGTTTTTTTATTGTTTCAATTTTTCGATGTGTCACACAATTTTTTCTAAAAATATTGTCTATAATACAATTTTTACAAAAAAAGTTGCATTGTTTTAAAGTCGTATTAATAAATCACGATTTTCCACAATGGCAATTTTTCGAGTCTTCTTCAATTTTAATTTTTTTAAATTTTTCGTGTTTCCAATTTTTGAACTATTCTATTTTTCGATTGTTCAGTTTTCCTTTCTTCAATACTTGATTTTTCATTTCTCAAATTTTCAATTTAAAATTTTTCAGTTTGTGAGCTTTGAATTTTTCGATTTTGCAGGATATCATTATTTTATTATTTATGTGAGAAACTATTAATTTTCAGTTTTATGATTGTTCAATTATTTCAATTTTCCATTTTTAATTTTTCCAAAGTCCGATTATTCAATTTCTCAATTTTTAAATTTAATAATTTTTCAAATTTTCAATTGTGAGATTTTTCAGTATTTCAATTTTAGTTTTGCGATTTTACAGTTTTTCGATTTTTCACTTTTCCAAATTTTCAATTTTTGATATTTATAATTGTTTGTTTTTCAATTTCGCTTTATTCAATTTTTCGTTTCTTCAATTTTTCGAATTTTCATTTCTTCAATTTTTCAGTTTTCAACTTTTTGTTTAGGTTATTCATTTTCATAATTTTTTTTTCAATTTTTCGGTTTTACAATGTTCTCATCTTAATTTCTCTTTTTTTTCAACGTAAAATTTTTAAATTTTCTATTTTCAATTTTTCGTGTCGGATTTTTATTTTCTTCATTTTTACTCTTTTTCGATTTTTCAATGTTTCAATTCTATAATTGTTCGTTTTTTCACTTTCAATTTTTTAAATTTTTCGATTTTTCAAAATTTCATTTATTCAATTTATCGATTTGCAATTTCTCGTTTAGTTTACCATTTTCTTATTTTTTTTCAAATTTTCGACTTTTCAATATTCTGATTTTAATTTTTCTTATTTTCATTGTGAATTTGTTCAATCTTTGGATGTTTCAATTTTTGGGTTTTTCAATTTTAATTTTTGCAATTTTTCGATTCTTTAGTTTTTCGTTTCTTCAAATTTTGTATTTGTAATTTTTCGTTCCGGCTTTTTATTTTCTTTTTTACTGTTTTTCGATTTTTCAGTGTTCCGATCTTATAATTGTTCGTTTTTTCACTTTCAATTTTTTCAATTTTTCGTTTCTTGAATTTTTCGATTTTTCAGATTTTCATTTTTTCACTTTTTCAATTAGCAATTTTTCATTTCGGCTTTCTAATTTCTTCATTTTTACTCTTTTTCGATTTTTCAGTGTTCCGATTTTATATTTGTTCGTTTTTTCAACTGCAATTTTTTCAATTTTTCGATTTTTCAAAATTTCCTTTCTTCAATTTTTCGATTTGCAATTTTTCGTTTAGGTTTCTCATTTTGTTTCTTTCTCCAATTTTCATTTTTTTCGATATAAAATTTTTCTGTTTTTAGATTTTTCAATTTTCAGATTTTGCTTTTTTCGATTCGTTAGTTTTTCGTTTCTTCAAATTTTCGGTTTTCAATTTTTTGTTTCGGCTTTTTATTTTCTTCATTTTTACTGTTTTTTTTATTGTTTCAATATTTCGATGTGTCACACAATTTTTTCTAAAAATATTGTCTATAATACAATTTTTACAAAAAACGTTGCATTGTTTTAAAGTCGTATTAATAAATCACGAGGTTCCACAATCGCAATTTTTCGAGTCTTCTTCAATTTTAATTTTTTTAAATTTTTCGTGTTTACAATTTTTGAACTTTTCTATTTTTCGATTGTTCAGTTTTCCTTTCTTCAATACTTGATTTTTCATTTCTCAATTTTTCGATTTATAATTTCTCAAATTTTCAATTTAAAATTTTTCAGTTTGTGAGCTTTGAATTTTTCGATTTTGCAGGATATCATTATTTTACTATTTATGTAAGAAACTATTAATTTTCAGTTTTAGATTGTTCAATTATTTCAATTTTCCATTTTTAATTTTTCGAAAGTCCGATTATTCAATTTCTCAATTTTTAAATTTAATAATTTTTCAAATTCTCAGTTGTGAGATTTTTCAGTGTTTCAATTTTAGTTTTGCGATTTTACAGTTTTTCGATTTTTCAGTTTTCCAAATTTTCAATTTTTGATATTTATAATTGTTTGTTTTTCAATTTCGCTTTATTCAATTTTTCGTTTCTTCAATTTTTCGAATTTTCATTTCTTCAATTTTACAGTTTTCAACTTTTTGTTTAGGTTATTCATTTTCATAATTTTTTTTTCAATTTTTCGGTTTTACAATGTTCTCATCTTAATTTCTCTTTTTTTTCAACGTGAAATTTTTAAATTTTCTATTTTCAATTTTTCGTGTCGGATTTTTATTTTCTTCATTTTTACTCTTTTTCGATTTTTCAATGTTTCAATTCTATAATTGTTCGTTTTTTCACTTTCAATTTTTTCAATTTTTCGATTTTTCAAAATTTCATTTATTCAATTTATCGTTTTGCAATTTTTCGTTTAGTTTTCCATTTTCTTATTCTTTTTCAAATTTTCGGCTTTTCAATGTTCTGATTTTAATTTTTCTTATTTTCATTGCGAATTTGTTCAATCTTTGGATGTTTCAATTTTTGGGTTTTTCAATTTTAATTTTTGCAATTTTTCGATTCTTTAGTTTTTCGTTTCTTCAAATTTTGTATTTGTAATTTTTCGTTCGGGCTTTTTATTTTCTTTTTTACTGTTTTTCGATTTTTCAATGTTCCGATCTTATAATTGTTCGTTTTTTCACTTTCAATTTTTTCAATTTTTCGTTTCTTGAATTTTTCGATTTTTCAGATTTTCATTTTTCCAATTTTTCAATTGGCAATTTTTCGTTTCGGCTTTCTAATTTCTTCATTTTTACTCTTTTTCGATTTTTCAGTGATCCGATTTTATATTTGTTCGTTTTTTCAACTGCAATTTTTTCAATTTTTCGATTTTTCAAAATTTCCTTTCTTCAATTTTTCGATTTGCAATTTTTCGTTTAGGTTTCTCATTTTGTTTCTTTCTCCAATTTTCATTTTTTTCGATATAAAATTTTTCTGTTTTTAGATTTTTCAATTTTCAGATTTTGCTTTTTTCGATTCGTTAGTTTTTCGTTTCTTCAAATTTTCGGTTTTCAATTTTTTGTTTCGGCTTTTTATTTTCTTCATTTTTACTGTTTTTTTTATTGTTTCAATTTTTCGATGTGTCACACAATTTTTTCTAAAAATATTGTCAATAATACAATTTTTACAAAAAAAGTTGCATTGTTTTAAAGTCGTATTAATAAATCACGAGGTTCCACAATCGCAATTTTTCGAGTCTTCTTCAATTTTAATTTTTTTAAATTTTTCGTGTTTACAATTTTTGAACTTTTCTATTTTTCGATTGTTCAGTTTTCCTTTCTTCAATACTTGATTTTTCATTTCTCAATTTTTCGATTTATAATTTCTCAAATTTTCAATTTAAAATTTTTCAGTTTGTGAGCTTTGAATTTTTCGATTTTGCAGGATATCATTATTTTACTATTTATGTAAGAAACTATTAATTTTCAGTTTTAGATTGTTCAATTATTTCAATTTTCCATTTTTAATTTTTCGAAAGTCCGATTATTCAATTTCTCAATTTTTAAATTTAATAATTTTTCAAATTCTCAGTTGTGAGATTTTTCAGAGTTTCAATTTTAGTTTTGCGATTTTACAGTTTTTCGATTTTTCAGTTTTCCAAATTTTCAATTTTTGATATTTATAATTGTTTGTTTTTCAATTTCGCTTTATTCAATTTTTCGTTTCTTCAATTTTTCGAATTTTCATTTCTTCAATTTTTCAGTTTTCAACTTTTTGTTTAGGTTATTCATTTTCATAATTTTTTTTTCAATTTTTCGGTTTTACAATGTTCTCATCTTAATTTCTCTTTTTTTTCAACGTGAAATTTTTAAATTTTCTATTTTCAATTTTTCGTATCGGATTTTTATTTTCTTCATTTTTACTCTTTTTCGATTTTTCAATGTTTCAATTCTATAATTGTTCGTTTTTTCACTTTCAATTTTTTCAATTTTTCTATTTTTCAAAATTTCATTTATTCAGTTTATCGATTTGCAATTTTTCGTTTAGTTTTCCATTTTCTTATTCTTTTTCAAATTTTCGGCTTTTCAATGTTCTGATTTTAATTTTTCTTATTTTCATTGCGAATTTGTTCAATCTTTGGATGTTTCAATTTGTGGGTTTTTCAATTTTAATTTTTGCAATTTTTCGATTCTTTAGTTTTTCGTTTCTTCAAATTTTGTATTTGTAATTTTTCGTTCGGGCTTTTTATTTTCTTTTTTACTGTTTTTCGATTTTTCAATGTTCCGATCTTATAATTGTTCGTTTTTTCACTTTCAATTTTTTCAATTTTTCGTTTCTTGAATTTTTCGATTTTTCAGATTTTCATTTTTTCAATTTTTCAATTAGCAATTTTTCGTTTCGGCTTTCTTCTTCATTTTTACTCTTTTTCGATTTTTCAGTGTTCCGATTTTATATTTGTTCGTTTTTTCAACTGCAATTTTTTCAATTTTTCGATTTTTCAAAATTTCCTTTCTTCAATTTTTCGATTTGCAATTTTTCGTTTAGGTTTCTCATTTTGTTTCTTTCTCCAATTTTCATTTTTTTCGATATAAAATTTTTCTGTTTTTAGATTTTTCAATTTTCAGATTTTGCTTTTTTCGATTCGTTAGTTTTTCGTTTCTTCAAATTTTCGGTTTTCAATTTTTTGTTTCGGCTTTTTATTTTCTTCATTTTTACTGTTTTTTTTATTGTTTCAATTTTTCGATGTGTCACAATTTTTTCTAAAAATATTGTCTATAATACAATTTTTACAAAAAAAGTTGCATTGTTTTGAAGTCGTATTAATAAATCACGAGGTTCCACAATCGTAATTTTTCGAGTTTTCTTCAATTTTAATTTTTTTAAATTTTTCGTGTTTCCAATTTTTGAACTTTTCTATTTTTCGATTGTTCAGTTTTCCTTTCTTCAATACTTGATTTTTCATTTCTCAATTTTTCGATTTATAATTTCTCAAATTTTCAATTTAAAATTTTTCAGTTTGTGAGCTTTGAATTTTTCGATTTTGCAGAATATCATTATTTTATTATTTATGTAAGAAACTATTAATTTTCAGTTTTATGATTGTTCAATTATTTCAATTTTCCATTTTTAATTTTTCGAAAGTCCGATTATTCAATTTCTCAATTTTTAAATTTAATAATTTTTCAAATTTTCAGTTGTGAGATTTTTCCAATTAAAATTGTCATATATTTTTTTAGTGTTTTGATTTTATAGTTTTGCAATTTTTCGTTTCCCCAAACTTTCGAATTTTGATTTCTTGTTGTTAAATTTTTCAGATTTTCAATATTTAGATTTTTCAAAATTTAAAGTTTTCAATTTTTTTTCTATTTTTCAATGTTTTCTTTCTTCAATTTTTCGATTAACGTTTTTTCAAATTCTTGGTTTTAAATTTTTGCAATTTTGCAGTTTGTCAGATTTCCAATTCGGTTCGTAATTTTTCGAGTTTTCAATTTAAAATTTTTCAGTTATTCAACTGTTGAATTCTTCAAATTTTCGATTTAACGATTTTTCAATTATTTTGGGTTGTCAGTATTAATTTTTTTCCAAAATTGTGAACTTGTTTAGTGTTTCGATTGTTTCTAGGTTTTTAAATTTTTCAAATTTTCAATTTTTGAGTTTTCAGTTTTAAAATTTTAGAATTTTTTGATTTCTCAATCATCCGATTTTTGATTTCTGTTTTGTTAATTTCTTGTTTTTAAATTTTCCAAATTTTCAGTTTTCCATTTTTGAAATTTTATAAACTTTCCAGTTTTTTTAGACTTTCCAGTTTTTTATTCAATTTTTCGTTTAGCAGTTTGATGAGTTTTCAGCTTTAAATTGTTCAATTTTTTAGATTTCGAATTTCTCAATTTTAAAGTTTTCAAAGTTGTTTTTTCAAGTTTTCGATTTGTAATTTCTCGACTTTGCAATTCTAATTTTTTAATTCAACTTTTCAATTTTCCAATTTTTCGATTTGATGATTTTTCAAAATCTTGATTTTCAATTTTTCAATTTCTCAATTTTTGATTTTTCGAGATTATAATTATTCAACTTTACAATTTTTCGCATTTTCCAATTTTCAATTCCTCACTTTTTTGATTTTTTGGTTTTAAAATTTTTTCACTTTAAACTATGAACTCGTGTTTCGATTTTCTAGTTGTTCGGTTTTTCACACTTTCTCGATTTCTCAAATTTTAAACTTTTCAATTTCGTAGTTTTTACATTTTTGATTTATTAATCATCCAAATTTTACAGTTTTGGTTTTCAATTTCTCGATTTTAAATTTTTCAAATTTTCAACTTCTGAATTTTTCGAGTATGTACATATTTCGATTTCTCAGTTTTTTCTTTCTTCAATATTTCGATTTTCAATTTTTTGAATTTTGGTTTTTAATATTGGTTTTAATTTTTCATTTTTCGATTTGCAATTTTCCGAGTAATCAGTTTAAAATTTTTCAATTTCTAACCTTTTGAATTTTTCAATTTTTCGTTTATTACTTCTTGGATTTGCATTTTCTTGGGTTTTCATATTTGAATTTTTCAATTTTTCGAGATTATTCGACTCTATAATTTTTCGCCTTTCATAATTTTCCTTTTATCAATTTTTTTCTTTTTCGGTTTTAAAATTTTTCCAATTTAAATTATGAAATTTTTATAATTTTTCAATTTTTGATTTTTCAGTTTTTTGTGTTTTCAATTTTTAAATATTTCAATTTTGTAATTTTTACATTTTTCGATTTACTAATCATGCAAATTTTAGATTTTTAGTGTTCAGTTCCTCGATTTTATATTTTTCAAATCTTCAATTTTTCGATGTATCAATCATTCGAATTTTGGATTTTAAGTTTTCAATTCTTGATTTTAAATTTTTCAGATTTTCGATTTTTCAGCTTCTGAACTTTTCGATGTCTCAGTTTTTCTTTCTTCAATTTTTCAGTGCAGTTTTTTGAGTTTTTGGTTTCTTCCATTTTTCAAGTTTTCAGTTTAAAACTTTTTTAATTTCTGCCTTTTTCAACTTAAGAATTTTTTAGAGTTTCGTTTTTTACTTTTTGGATTTGCATTTTGTAGATTTTTAATTTTTCGTTTCTTCGATTTTTAAATTTTAAATATTTTTGAAAATGTTTCGATTTTACAAGTCGTTTTTAAAATTTTTCAATTATTTAGTTGCCGATTTTCCAGTTTTTAAATTTTAATTTTACACTTTTGAACTTTTCAGTTTGTGATTTTGGGTTGTGCCATCAATTTTTCGACTTTTCAATTTAAAATTTTCCAATTTTTCAGTTTTTTTTTAGTTGTTCCGTTATTCAGCTTTTTGATTTGTAATTTTTTAATGTTTGAATTTTTCAATTTTTAATTTTTCAATTTTTCGAGTTCACGAGGTTTCGCTTTTTCAAAATTTCATTTTTCTGGTTTTTGATTTTTCAATTTTAAAATTTTTCAAAATTTCAATTTCAAATTGAAAATAATAAAAAATTTTCTTAGGTGGAACTCGCCCGCCCCTACTGCAAGTACGCCGCCCGCCCCCCCAGCGTCTCCCTCATCCCCCAGCACGTCGAAAAGGCCGTCCGCCTCACCCGCTACGGCCGCCCCGGCGCCGCCTACCTCGACTTCCCCGGCAACATGCTCCAGGCCCAGATCCCCGTCGACAAAATCCCCCCACAGTACACCTCCCCCGAGCTCCCCATCGTCTACCCCGAACCCCGCAAAATCGAGGAGGCCGTGACGCTCCTAAGCCAAGCCCGCCGCCCCCTGGTCATCGTGGGCAAAGGCGCCGCCTACGCGCACGCCGAACGCGAAGTCCGCGATTTAGTCCAATCGGCGAACTTGCCCGTCCTAGCCACGCCCATGGGCAAGGGCGTGGTCGACGACAACTCCCCCTTGTCCATCCAGCCCGCCCGGTCCCTGGCGCTACAAAGAGCCGACGTCGTCGTCCTCCTCGGCGCCAGACTCAACTGGATCCTGCATTTCGGCCGCCCCCCTAGGTACAGCCCCGACGTCAAAGTCATCCAGATTGACGTGTCGGCGGAGGAGCTCCACAACAGCGTCCAATCCGCAGTGGCCATCCAGGCGGACCTCAAACCAGCTGTTGCGCAATTGGTGGACGCCGTCAAGAGGAGGGGCTTCGTCTTCAACAAGCAGTCCGACTGGTGGGCGGATCTTTCAAAGAAAATCCAAGATAACAAAAAGAAGGTCGAGGAGATGGCGCTGGATACGTCGGAACCGTTGAACTACTATGCGGTTTTCCACCATCTGATGGAAGTTTTGCCCCCGAACCCCATTATAGTGAGCGAGGGTGCGAATACCATGGACATTGGGAGGTCGATTTTGATGAATGCGCTACCAAGACACCGACTGGATGCTGGTACTTTTGGTACGATGGGTGTTGGGTTAGGGTTTGCAATAGCGGCAGCGTTGTACTGTAGACACAATGAACCAGAAAAGAAGGTTATTTGTGTGGAAGGGGATTCGGCGTTCGGTTTTTCGGGAATGGAGCTGGAGACCATGGTACGATATAAACTACCAGTGGTCTTGATTGTGGTCAACAATTCCGGGATTTATGGAGGCATGCCCGAGGACGTCTACAAGGACGTGCAAGAGAGCGGCGAAGTCACGAAAGTGTAAGTTGATGGGTGTGGTATAGTTTGATGGTGGGTTTGGTTTTTTAGGACTCCGCCCACGACTCTTACGTTTAGTACTCGGTATGAGAACATGATGGGTTTGTTTGGGAAGAAGGGTTATTTTGTTACCAGTATTTCCCAGTTGCAGCAGGCCGTTAAAGAAGCGTTGAAGGTGAACGATGGTCCTAGCATTATTAATGTGATTATAAGTCCTTCAGCGGATAGGAAGCCACAGACTTTTAGTTGGCTCACAGAGTCCAAGTTGTAATTTTTTTTTTATAAAAATATGTTGGTTGTTTTGGTTGTTAAGGTGTGAAAAATAAAATATCTAGTTACAAAAAAAAATGCCATTTTTATTTAATTGTGGTTATGTATTCTAGGATTGTGTCATAAAGAAATTTTAGTTGTCTCTGGAAGAAATTAGAGTAGGTTTTGTTACTGTTACAGGTTTAGATACTCACCGTTCGAATAAAGAAGGTAGAATTGTGTCTGTTTGCGGTTCTTAAGAATCTGTAAACATCTACTTCACGTTCTTTTTTGTGTTTATCGAGAACGTTACATAATACAGTGAAGAGGCTACTGGCGTTCATTCCGACCCTGTAAAAACACAAATATTATATATTCACAATCTTGAATTGTGGTTTATGAATCCGTGTTCAGATTTTACCCTTGTAAAAAAATCAAACTTCTGTAACAATATTTTGCAAATTAGTTTTGATATTGCAAAATAGAGTGCTTTGAAATTTAGCAAACGTTTTACGGTCATCGGAAACATTATAATTCATTGGAATTGATGATGTCATCTTACATTTTTCGAGAATTAATGTTATACAAATGTTAAAAAGTAACATAGTTTTCAACTTGTGGTTTATGAATCCGTATCAAGATGTTTGGAAAAAAACATAATTTTATAACAATTTTTCGAATTTTCAGTTTTGGGACTTTCACTTTCTAATTCTTCAATTTTTTGCTCTTTGAGTCTCTCGATTTTTCAATTTTTCGATTTTCAGTTTTTCAATTTCTCAATGTTTCAGTTTTTATTCAAATTTTAGCATTTCTAATTTTTCGATTTTTTAATTTTGAGATTAATCGATTTTTCGACTTCACGATTTCCAGAAAATCTCGTTTTCTGGATTTCTCGATTTCTCGGGTTATTGATTTTTTGGTTTTTTAAGGTTTATATTTTCGATTTCCCATTTTTTTTATCTTTACGTTTTAGGATTTTTCTGTTTATCGATTTATCAGTTTTTTGATATTGCAGTTTTGGAATTTTTTGGTATTCCGATTTTTTAATTTTAGATATTTCGATTTATTGGTTTCCCAATTAACCGATTTCTCGATTTTTTGATGTTTGATTTTTCAATTTTTAATTTGTTTAATTTTTCAATTATTCTATTTCCCATTTTTTTGATGTTTCAATTATTATTCGATTGTTTAAATTTCCGATTTTTCGACTTTTCGATTTCTCAATTTTTTTCTATGTTTCAGGTTAGGAATCTTTCAATATTTCGGTTTTTAAAATTTTACATTTTTCGATTTACAATTTTGCGATTTTTCAATTTTTCAATTTTTCAATTTTTGGCTTTCCTAAATTTTCCCATTTATTGATTTCCCCAATATCTAATCGATTTCTCGATTTTTTTGACTTTTTGATTCATGGATTTTTTGATTCCCATTTCTCGATCTCTTGACTTTTTGAAGTTTGATTTTTCAATTTTTCAATTTTTCGATTTCCCATTTTTTTGATGTTTTAATTATTCGACTTTTTAAATTATTGGATTTTTCGACTTTTCTAGTTCTCAATTTTTTTCGATGTTTCAGTTTAGGAATCTTTCAATATTTCGGTTTTTAAAATTTTACATTTTTCGATTTTTCAATTTTTGGCTTTCCAAAGTTTTCGATAAATCGACTTTTTGATTCATGGATTTTTTGATTCCCATTTCTCGATGTCTCAACTTTTTGATGTTCGATTTTTCAATTTTTTCAATGTTTCAATTTAGGAATGTTTCAATATTTCAGTTTTAAAATTCTATATTTTTCGATTTTAAGTTTTTCGAATTTTACATTTTTCAATTTTTGGTTTTCCTAAGTTTTTGATTACTCGATTTCCAATTTTTCGATATTTTAAGTTTTCTATTTTTCGACTTAGATTTCTCGATTTCTCAAGTTCCTTTGTTTCAGTTTTAAGATTTTTCAATTTATCGAGTTTTCGATTATCAGTTTTGGAACTTTTCAGTGTTTCGATTTTTTAAATTTTCGATTTTTTCCATTTCTTAATTTTTCAATTTGCCGTTCCTAAGTTTTTGATTTTTCGTTTTCGTGATTTCAAGACTAATCGATTTCTCGATTTTTCGACATTTCGATTCATTGATTTTTCAATTTTTGGATTTTTATAGTTTCATATTTTTCGTCTTCGATTTCTCGATTTCTCATTTATTTATGTTTAAGTGATACAAATGTCTGAGGGATAAAATTGAAAAATATTGAGAAATATTAAAGATTTGAGATTTTTCAATTTTTAATTTATTTAATTTTTCAATTATTCTATTTCCCATTTTTTTGATGTTTCAATTATTATTCGATTGTTTAAATTTCCGATTTTTCGACTTTTCGATTTCTCAATTTTTTTCTATGTTTCAGGTTAGGAATCTTTCAATATTTCGGTTTTTAAAATTTTACATTTTTCGATTTACAATTTTGCGATTTTTCAATTTTTCAATTTTTCAATTTTTGGCTTTCCTAAATTTTCCCATTTATTGATTTCCCCAATATCTAATCGATTTCTCGATTTTTTTGACTTTTTGATTCATGGATTTTTTGATTCCCATTTCTCGATCTCTTGACTTTTTGAAGTTTGATTTTTCAATTTTTCGATTTCCCATTTTTTTGATGTTTTAATTATTCGACTTTTTAAATTATTGGATTTTTCGACTTTTCTAGTTCTCAATTTTTTTCGATGTTTCAGTTTAGGAATCTTTCAATATTTCGGTTTTTAAAATTTTACATTTTTCGATTTTTCAATTTTTGGCTTTCCAAAGTTTTCGATAAATCGACTTTTTGACTTTTTGATTCATGGATTTTTTTATTCCCATTTCTGGATGTCTCAACTTTATGATGTTCGATTTTTCAATTTTTTCAATGTTTCAATTTAGGAATGTTTCAATATTTCAGTTTTAAAATTCTATATTTTTCGATTTTAAGTTTTTCGAATTTTACATTTTTCAATTTTTGGTTTTCCTAAGTTTTCGATTAGGTACTCGATTTCCAATTTTTCGATATTTTAAGTTTTCTATTTTTCGACTTAGATTTCTCGATTTCTCAAGTTCCTTTGTTTCAGTTTTAAGATTTTTCAATTTATCGAGTTTTCGATTATCAGTTTTGGAACTTTTCAGTGTTTCGATTTTTTAAATTTTCGATTTTTTCCATTTCTTAATTTTTCAATTTGCCGTTCCTAAGTTTTTGATTTTTCGTTTTCGTGATTTCAAGACTAATCGATTTCTCGATTTTTCGACATTTCGATTCATTGATTTTTCAATTTTTGAATTTTTAAAGTTTCTATTTTTCGTCTTCGATTTCTCGATTTCTCATTTATTTATGTTTAAGTGATACAAATGTCTGAGGGATAAAATTGAAAAATATTGAGAAATATTAAAGATTTGAGATTTTTCGATTTATTGATTTCTCAGTAGTTTGATAGATATTTCAGATTTGGAATTTTTCAATATTTCAATTTTTTAATTTCATATAGCTCGATTTAAAATTTTTCAATTTTTCAATTTTTGGTGTTTCTTAGTTTTCGATTTTTCAATTTCTCGATCTTTTGACTTTTCGATTCTTCAATTTGTTGATTTATCGCTTTGTAAATTTTTCAGTTTTTCAATTTTTCAGTTTTTCGATTTCTCAGTTTTTTGATGTTTTAATGATCCAAGTTTTTAATTTACAATTTTTCAACTTTACGATTTATCAATTTTTCCAATGTTTTAGTTTTAGAATCTATCACTATTTCGATTTTTAAAATTTGAGACTTTTCTCTTTTGAATTTTTAGATTTTCCAATTTTTCAATTTTTGGGGTTCCTAAGTTTTTGATTTTTCGATTTATTGATTTTAAGATTACTCGATTTTCGATTTCTCGAATTTTCGACTTTTCCATTCATAGATTTTTTAATATTCCTATTTCTCAAGTTCTTGACTTTTCGATGTTCAATTTCCGGATTTTTCATTTCTTTAGTTTGTCTATTTTCCAATTTTTCAATTTTTTGATTTCTAAAATTTTTGACTTGGATTTTTAAATTTTTCGGTTTTTAATTTTTTAATTCTTCAATTTTTGGATCTCTCGATTTATCGAGATTTCGATGTTTATATTGCCCAGTTTCCAGATTTTTCAATTTTACGATTGATAGATTTTTTTTAATTTTAAATATTTCAATTTTCAATCATTAATTTTTCCATTTTGAGCTATTTACCAATTTCCTGATTTTTTTGACGTATCGATTTTCATTCATCATCAAATTTTCCAAGTTTTGGTTTTTCAGTTTTTGGAAAATTCAGTTTGAGGATCTATCAATTACACGATTTCTCGTTTTTTTATTTTTCAGTTTTTCAATTTTTCAATTCTTCAATTTGTTTATTTTCCAGTTTTCAGCTTTTCGATTTTTCAGTTGTTTGATGTTTCAATTACATATTCGATTTTTAAAATTATTGATTTTTTAATTCCTGGATTTTTTTCTGTATTTTTTCAATTTTTAAATTTTAGATCTTTCGATTTTTGGGCTTCTCGGTTTTAGATTTTCCGGCCTTTAATTTTTCAATTCTTCAATTTCTCGATATTTCAATCTTTTTTAAATTGTTTTAATTCCCCGATTTTTCGATTTATTTATTTTTAAAATTTAAAATTTTTCGATTTTTCAATTATTAATTTTTTGATTTTGAGCTATTTACCAACTTCTGGATTTTTTGATTTTCATCCATGACCGATGTTCCAATTTTTCGAAGTTTTTAGTTTTTTAGTTTTTGGAAAATTCAATTTGAAGATCTATCAATTACTCGATTTCTCGTTTTTTTGATATTTCAATTTTTCGGTTTTTCAATTTTTCGATTTCTTAAATTTTACATTTTTCGATTTGAAAAACTTTTAATGTTTCTATTTCTCGATTTTTAAATTTTGTAACATCTCAGTTTTTCAATTTTTCGAATATTTCGATTTCTGGAAATCTTGGTTTTTGATTTTTTAGTTTTTTGACTTTCCGAATTTTCGATTTCTCAATGTTTTAACATTCCAATTTTGTGGATTTTTAAATTTATGGATTTTAAAATTCTTCGATATATTAATTTTTGGATTTTTTAAAGTTTCAATTTTGCGACTTTTTGATGTTTTCGCTTTTTTAAATTTGCGATTTTTCAGTTTGTCGATTTTCCGAAAAATAGATTCATACGTTGATTTTTTTTAAATAAGTTGTTCGTAATATTTAGATTTTTCAAATTTTAAATTTTGCCATTTTTTAATTTTTCAATTTGGCGTTTTTGATTTTTCGATTTCTTGATTTCAAGATTAATCAATTTCTCGATTTTTCGACTTTTTGATACATCGATTTTTTGG